TTCTGCCAAATGCAGCAGTCCTAGTATGTGTTAAGTTCCCCCCACCTCCAGTCTAGCCATGCCCTCTTTGTGAAGCAATGGAGAGCAGATGGTAGAGCATTGTGTGTCAGGGCCCAGAGGGCATCACAGACTAGGGCATTTGACATGATCCTCTATCTCTCTACGTGCATCTAAAGAAGTCATCATGCAAAAGGTAACATATACCAATCTTTTAATGTGTAGGTATTGAGATAATACAATTATGTCTTCCTTAGTATACAGAGAGAGTCCACAGATTGTCGCATTACAAGTACGGCAATGCTGTAACTTGCTGGCAAATGTCTTGCTCATGGCAACCTTTGTATAGTATATATTTATATACTTAAAAGGTATAGAGATCAATATAAGAGATGCACAAACATGCAGATACCTCAATTATAGTCATATTTAGGCAAATATACTTACTATGTACATTAAATAATAAACAATTTCAGGAACTACTTAATTTTACTAGTGGTAATGTAGAAATGCTTGCATTTACTTTTATCACAAGTGCCATTAAGTAGAGCCATATAGGACAAAAAAACAAACTGCAGTTTTGTTTTCTGTCACTATCTAATCAGTGATCATAAATGAATTGTTAACCTCCTTGGAACAAAATGGAATTTATTAAAAAATTTATGCTAGCTTTTCTTGGGTAAACAATTTATCCTTCCTCTCTGGGCTAAAGGCAAGTTTGGGCCATGAAGGTTAATGCATTTTTACTGTCAAGCTGGATTAAAGAGTGCGCTTGAATAGTCAAGATTCCCCAGTAGTGTTAGAAAGCAGCAATTAAAGGTGGGAGCTTAGTGATTTCAAACAAACTTGGTGGGCATTAATGATGGGCTTCTGTGGAATGTCCATGAGGCAGAAGCTTGTGGGATGTCTGTCTGCATGCAAGCAGTAAAATAGGTGTTGAATCGTGCCAGCACATTAATCTCTTTGTTAGTGGCACATGATCTGTAAAGGGAAAAAAAATACTGGCAGGAGGGGGAAGAAAACACAGCACACTTAGGAATTTAAGTGTGATTTTAAATGACATGGAGCTTTTATTGATCCCTAAGTGGCTCATTCTCTAATACTCATTTTCCTTAAGGACATTTCTTAAATCTCCTGATTGCAGTGATGTGGTTTGTTGAGTCAGATATACCAGGAAGAAAGACACAGCACCATAAATTTATTTAATCTAGATGCTTCACTTTTATGAATAAATCTAAAACTGGAACATTTTAACTCTTCCTTCAGTCCAACCCCAACAAGATCTGTTTTTTGTTAATTCTTGGACCAGGCTATGGTTAGTTCCTCCTATCCCACAACCAACTAATAAGGATTTTAGCACCCCACTCTTTAAAAAAAATGTTCTGACTGCCATCATACAAGCATTCAAGATATTGGGAAAGATGGTCCCTTCTCATATAGAAACTTGAGGCCCCACTCATCCTGCTGTCCAATGGGCATGGTCCTTATTTGTTGACTTGTGGCCAGGTTTAGTCAGGAGAACCCAGTCCACAGCTACCACATTGAACCCTAGAGCAACCATGTACCCACATACTCTCTCCATGTGCCATTGTTTGGAGAAAGACAAGAGTGAATAAAAAATGAATAAAATAACTGTTTCTCGAGCACTCCACTACCTAAATCAATAGTAAGAATAAAATTCCCCTTTTGTGTCTCCTTCATCTGAGTATAAAATTTTGGAGGATCCCAGGACTCATGAAAAGAACACGGTTCCAGGCATGAGTGGGGAGCTAATTAACTCATGGATCCTTTCTGGGGATTATCTGGAGTACACATACATATTGAGCAGTGCTGAGCTATGGGGTCACCATGGCTTGAAATGCTTTTGATTCTGCTGGGGCCCAACCCAAAGAACTGTATGGTAAAATATTAGCCTTTTGGCTTTGAACTAATATAATGAATAGTTTATACTCTCTCTAAGCAGGTACAAAAGTGTTGCTTGAAAGTGTGTTCATAGAGTACCTGTGTTAAACCTTGCAGCAGTTTCCAAAAATGGTAAAATGTATCACTTCTGAATGATGTAAGCCTATAGGAATTTATAGTAATTGGCCTACATATGCATTACTACAGGTATGTTTATTTTAGAGTCAGTGGGCGCATCTACACATGTAATTAAATCAAAGCAAGAAATGCTGGCGCTTATCACTCTGGCATTTATTGCTTCCCACACACCGCATTTACAGACGTGCCTGGGAGCATAGCACGTTGAGCTGAGTTGGAGCAGCCCTGGCTGGCAGGAGACCTGGGGGTCAGCCTGCCAACCCACAGCTGCGTCAGCTCAGCTCAGCGTGCTGCAGAAGGGTGCTCCAGTGCAGGGCTAGCCATCAGGCAGCCCCTGCATTGAAGCACCCTTTTGCCCCAGCCAGCTGCATGTGCAGTGGGTGCTGCAGAGTAAAGAAAACTCCACAAGGGGGTAGTATTTGTAGTCAGAAGTATTATCCAGCTGTGGAGTTAATGATTTTCCTGTGGCCTAATAGGGTTACATGTGTGCATGTGATGTAGATGTGAGATGTTTACTGTGGAGCTAATTAGTCTGCTTTGCAGTAAGTGTCTCATGTAGATGTGCCCAGTGTTTTTAAATTCCCCCCTCACTTTCATATGCTAAAGAAGAACAGGGTCTTACATTAAGGAGAGGGTGAAGGGGCTGCAGGAGGAAAAAGTTGGGGTATAAGGGAAGCACCTGATTCCTTCAGATTGATTTCCCCTGCTGTAGCAGTGGGAGGCAGACTAATTTAAACAAACCTCCAATAAGTTGATTCTGTACCTGAAAAATTATAATAAATGAATATATTTTCTATATAGAGAATCTAATTATTGGGAGCTGTCTTATATTCAGGTAAATATGGTAATCCAGGCAGGAAGCGTGGCAGGTAAAATGGCAGACTTAACCAAGAAGGGTCCTATACATTTCAAAATGTTTTTTAAGGAGAGAATTCTCTCCAGTTTGATCCTCAAAAGCAGCCACATGGAAAGTTTGAACAAAATATAACCTACATGGACTGCTACTACTGAGGTGGAACAGGACATTAAAAATGGGCATGATGTTATTGGCCTGTGTTTTGTTCCTTTCTCTCTGTTTATGTGTTGTGTTACATCAAAGAAATAAAGTGCAAACGATCTTACTATTCCACATTAATGCTCTTAGGCCTAATTTGTCTGTAGTCTGGATATTTAGTTGACTATACAACTTCAATGATGTGAAGTATCTTCAGTACATTTTCTACATAGTGACAAACAACTGCAGTTTAGAAACTTTGCCTTAAGAAACATTTTCCATTAGTATATAACTAGGAATTATATGGTCCTAATCAACAGCACAGAAGGCACCCAATAAAACACTGTAACAAAGAATGTTCTATTGCTCCCCTGCCTTGCTGGTGAAGCTGTCTTACCTCAAGCACCTTTGTTTTTTCCCAAGTACCTCCCCTATACATTTTTAATCTCTCAGCCAGTGTCAGAATAGTTTAAAACATTTTCTTAAGGCAGTTGGATTCTCTTAAAATTCAAACCTTATTCATGCAATTCATCTGCATCCCCATTTACCAACCATCCCCTTTCCACAACAATAGTATACTGCAGAGGTAATGGGCTCAAAGTAGAAAATGCCAGCAAAATTAAAACATAACAAAGTTCAAAATCAATGAAATTATACAGCATCAGGAATTGAACAGAATATCTTACTGATTCTCCTCATCACCGATCCTGGAAAAATCAAGGTATAAGCACATTGCTTACACTTCCAGTCTGCATATAATACAGAACACACATATCCTATATTTTAAAGGCCATTAAAACATTTTGGACTTAGTCCTCTTTCCCCTAAGCTGGTTCAAGGCAGCCTTCTCATAAAAAGTGTAATTGTTCTGTTGTATCACTACAGTCAGCAGTCTCCCCACTCCATATCCATCTCCAGGCTATATTCATTTTTTTTGCAGCAGGTTACAGGCTTTTCTGTATAGTCCATACTTTCAAACACCTACAGTTTTCCACTAATCTTAGTTTACCTCACTGGAGCAATCATCAGATCCAAATCACAATAGACCTTGGCTCTAAGAAATGTGGAATAACGAGGCACCAGGGAAATACGTCAGTGCAACAGAAAAATGTAAGAAGTGGTGGGGGAAATGTAACTGTAATACCACCAATGTGACTTGAAGCAATTTCCCCAAATAACTGCTGAACACCTGAAAAAATAAAGGGATAATCATAATCTTCATTTTCACCACTCCACTGTTGTTGTTTTTTTATCCCAAAAGGTCTAATTGCGCTTTACAACATCCAGACTTGCACCACTAATGAAATGTAGCCACTTCTGGGGCAAAATGCAGCTGCTAGTTTAATAACAAGTTCACAGCACATTGCATAATAGAAGAGAGGGGAGACAGAAATATGGCCCAGGACACAGATTTAACCTTATCTTTTTGAAAAATTCCAGGAAGACTTTAATGTTGATTTCTAAGTAGCTTTAAGATCTCATGCTATGGTTTAGAGGTCTCATCGGCGAGACCCACAAATCATAAACTGCATAAAAATCTTTTTCTCTACCATAGAAGGATAGAATGAATTCCTGCTGGGATTGGAAACTAAGAGTCTAGGCAGTCACAGGATTATGAATGACAAACTTAATACCTGCTAGGGCACCAGTTTCACACAAAAAAAAATTGTCATGTTTACAGTTAAATTGATATGTTATTTCTTGAACTCACCTAGTTTAGTTCTGTCTTAAAATTAGTCTTTTTTAGATGTAAATAAATATTCTGTAATGCCCCTACCTAATGCTGGTTCCATTAGCAATATGAGAATTACAATAACTTGTCTGTGGTGAGAGAAAATACAGAGCACAACTATTAGAACCAAGTAATCTTATTATAGTTCTTTAAAAGTAAGCCACCATTAAATGATTATTTGAGAAATGTCTGATGTCCTTTAGTCTTCTGTAAAATGTAGGCTAAATCTCTCTTATTTTACACCAAGAAATATTTAGAGGAAAAATAGTTAAGGAGATGGTTGTGTCAGTTAATGTTAGCAGGTTGTCAAAAATGTTATTAACCATTTTTATATGCCTAGCTTTCTGATACTGGTACTTATACCTGTGTGGCCACAAGTTCCAGTGGGGAGACATCTTGGAGTGCTGTGTTAGAGGTGACAGGTAAGTCATATATTGAGCTTATTTTGCACTTGGCACAATATGAAAATGCTCACTGTCTTATAGCATTGTGAGTCAACAAAAAAAATCCCTGTGTTAAAAGGTTCTAGGATTGAGACTTTTAGGTTGCATCCAGATAAGCATGGACATTTGATTACCCAGGGACAAGTAGCAGCAGTGCACCTTGTGCCACCATTACTTCTCCCTGGGGAACGCCTCTGCCATGCACATTTTAGTGTGTGGCAGGTTCCCACAGGTGGGATAGGGGAGGCGAGTACCAGCACCGTGCTGGCCAGAGCATGTGTCCAGGTGGCCCAGCTTCACTTTTGAGCGGCGCTATCTCTTAACATACTATTTCTTCATATACTTTTCATCCTATCACTTTCTTTGGCATCACAGCAACCAAAAATATATGCCCCAAATAGTAGCACTAAATTCACATGTATTAACTCAAGATGCATGTTGAGTCACTACAATATGGATTGGTACCGTTGTGTTGACTAAATTGAATATACTTTTGTTGTATCTTTATTCTCTTTTATTTTAACAAAAATTACACAATCAGGGGGGGAAGAATTCAATATTTTTCTATTTCTGCCTTTCAGAGTCTGGAGGAGCAACAGTCAGTAAAAATTATGATATAAATGACCTTCCTGGACCACCATCCAAACCTCAGGTCACAGATGTTACCAAGAACAGTGTCACTTTGTCCTGGCAGCCAGGCACCCCTGGAAGCTTAGCAGCTAGTGCATATATCATCGAGGCTTTTAGGTATGTGAATTATTCCACTTCTAATCTCTTTCTTTTCTAACTTTGTTTAAACCCTAGTGTCTCCTGATATGGAGATATATTTATGGACATCTTCAAATTCAGTGAACTCATTAAAGACTTTACCTTTGATGGCAAGAAGTTTATTTTTGAGCTTCAGGATCTTTTTTTTATTAGCCACCCATTTCCAAGTAAAAAGGTTAGACAAGTGCTTGACTATTTCTTTCGGTCAGTAGCAGGTTAGCTGGGCTATGTGTTCACTCATCTGTTTTTCTTAATCCTGATCATTACTAAACATTTCCAGGGAGAATGGTGATATTCAAGTTGGATAATGTCATAGGAAATTGTTTAATTGGGGTTGTGCAAACCAGAAAAAAATAATTAAGATTCCCTAAGCCTTGCACATTTAATATAAGCCTTGGTCTTCAAAAAGCAGAAACTGAACAGAGTACAAATATTTTAATTTCCTGTATATTGATGCTATGGAAAATGAAATATAGCATTCAGAAAGCAGACATCAGGTCACTGAGAGATCAGTCCATGTACTGTAGTTCATAGGATTGCAATGCTCATCCTCATGGAGAAGTAAGTCTGATTCAGAAGGTTATTTAAGCGTAAGCCCAATTTTATCCATGTATCAATGGGCTGCTTATTTGCTTAAAGTTAGGCACATGCTTCAGCAATTTTTTAATCAAAATACATCATTTTCTTCAAAGCAATGAATATGTAAGGTGACCTAATTTTCTTTTTAATTGGTACATTTTAGAATTTAGAAGTAAATCAAAATGTAGAAAATCTCAGAGAGTCCAAATGCTGACTACTCTTCCTGTATATATGCATAGGTGTCATTTCTAAACCTAAATGAAAAATAATTCTATAACTTCCCATATGCTTATTTTCTAACATTCTGATTGTTTAGACAAAATAATTTAAACAAAATAGTGGCTACCTTTCTATCATTTTTCCATTTGGTTTGATTAAAGACTTTGTAATGAGTAATAGAAGATGGACAGCTATGAATTCAAATTCTCTCTTTAACCTTAGCAAAGGTGCCCATTTGACCTTGGATAAACTACAGTGACATCCCATCAATGACTCTAACAAAAGCTGTATATTTATATTAAGAGCTATTTTAGCAATCACACGACGTATCTACAGCTGCAAAGAGTTGTATTCTCTGTATAGAGCAGTCAAATCAAAAGCTTAACTACAGGAAAAACATTCATACATTTCTCTTCTTTTACAGATGTATTTTAGAAAGGCTCTTTCGTAATTTTGAATATGGATTTTCTTTCAGCAAGACAATTTATTGGTATAATTTACTCTGTAGTATAGAAAATTATTCTTTTAACAGGTTTATTCTTTTCAGAGGTTTATGTTCAAGAGGTTCCCATTTATCATTCAAATTTACCTTTCTCTTTTTCCCCACGTCTGTTCCTTTTGCAGGTATTTATTTAGTGCAATATAATGTATTAGCAATGGCTTTCACTTCTGCTGGTTTGAAATATTTTTGATGTCACTATTGTTTTGCTTTATACTGTGACCTACATATCCTGATGAACTAATTGAAAACAGCAGAATTGCTTCTTTCACTGAGTTAATAATTTTTCTAGTAGATATCCTTACCATGAGATTAATACCCAAATCAATTTTATAATGCCCTTTCCTTTGCTTTAATCTGTAGTCTATAACTGTGTTTTTATTGCAGCCAATCTGTGAGCAATAGCTGGCAAACAGTGGCTAATCATGTAAAGACAACACTCTACACTGTCAGAGGACTCCGTCCCAATACGATTTATTTGTTTATGGTGAGAGCTATCAACCCTCAAGGTCTGAGCGATCCCAGCCCCATGTCAGATCCTGTCCGCACACAAGGTAATGACAGCTGCTAATGATGGCATGTTCCTCACTTGCTTCTGCTGTGTTCACTTTATAACAGAAAAATAAGGAAAAACGCTGAAAAACAGTCTGTTTACGTGGTTTTGTTTTGCTGGCTTTGCACCATTCTGGCCCAAGCACAACTAGCAGAGAAGAAAGGGAGTCTCCTGATTAAGGTACCAGCTCAAGCCTTTGGGGTACCAAAGTTCAGTTCCTTGTTATACCACAGGCCCTTTAGATGACTAGACACAAGTCAGGGCCAGATTCTTAATAGTGGCTTGGTGCCTCATCACCATTGAAATTAATTGGAATTAGCCACCTAAGCTCTTTTGAAAGTATACAAATACCTATCTCCATCCCTAGGACTCCACATACCCTTAAAATCTGACCTTTAGGACTTATCTATGCACTCTCCATGCCACAACAAGAAAAGGTGTAGTGTCACTGCCTTATGGTGGCCCTGAATTCAGACTCCAGTATCATCTTAGGCTGTTGGTCTTCAGGCTCTCCCCTCAGTGCATGCTCAGGAATACTATAAGCACTTATACCACTTCATGTCAAGGGTTTGGCATGTGTAGAAACAGAACACATGGCCAAGGTGTGACAGTGTAGATAAGCCCCTAATTTCTCTGTGCCTCCATATGTAAAAGGAGGATAGTACATTTGTAACAATAAGTGCATTAAAGATCACTAAACACATGGGTACCATATATGTACAAACCCATGTTTAAAACTAATATTCATGAAAAGGGTGGTACAAATTTGCTAGAGTATTAAACTGCCTTGATATTTGAATAGGTATACATTTTAAAGTTTATAGATGCTGAGAATTATATAATAAGATGGAAAAAAGTAGGTGTATATATTAATTGCTAGACATTCATCCACTGGTGCTAAACTAAAATGGGTGGCAAAAAGGAGCCCTCATTTGTGGGATAGCTAATGCAATCAAATAAGGTCCACTTATTTATTATTTTCAGTTATCTAGAGCTATGAGTATGACATATCATATCTAAAGGGTTGTGCTTTTGTATCCTGCTTGCTCCCCCTGTACGCAGGTCTAAAGATGAGTAAGCTTCTCTGCAAAGCTTAGAGGTGGCATGGCTCTGTTACCACATTGTCCAGGTTTTGCACGCCAAAGTATGAATCTCCACTTAACACAGTGGAGAACAGTAATGAACTTGGATTGTAATAAGACTTGTGCCATTGCAGAGAAATCCAAAATAATATTTTTCTTCACAGTTCATCTAGGGCCCTGTCTTCCCTTCCCTGATACATATGCACAATGAGCAAGGAGCGTGTAGGTAGCCTCTACACCCTGGCATATCCTGTGTAAATGGCCGCTTAAGGTAGTAGTTGCTGTCCCAAAAAAGCAGGGCTAGGTGGAAACAGGACAGAGGCTTGACTCTTAAAGCACTGTCACAAATTCTTCTTTCCAGCCCCTTTTGCAAAATGGAAATCAGTGACAGAGCTGAATGCTTCCCATTACACCAGCCCATGTTCTGGAGTCAGTACTGTGATTTAGATCTAAGCAAAAATGTTCTTTTTCTGCATCTGGAGGCCAGGGTGCTGGTGTTACTTCTTCTTCCTTTTTTGTTTGTCTGACATACTGATCAGAGATGTAATTTTAGTAGAAATAGGTTTTTTTTCCCCTTTAGCTCCAGCATGTGTTATAGTTTCTATTTTCCACAAGCTGTTCACCAGCCACGCACATTGCAACATGTAGAATATTTATAGCCTCTTTGGTACCCTACAGTTTAGTAGAATTAAATCATAAAATCAGTTTAGAATTAGCATAATGTTTTGATTTCATTTTTAATATTGCTTGAATTAAACTCAGATTCCTGCTACATGTTCAAATTAAAGCTGGACAGAAACCAGCTGTAGAGTTGTTACACATTTTAAGCACTAATTTTATAGCTGGTTGGCTCTTTTTATCGCTGCATACTCATTTTTATCATGTGGTGATTACTTTGCATGTGTAGCTGGTCTTACTTTGCATGTGTGGTCTTCATAATTAACCAATTAATTGCATAATATATGTAACATGTAGAGGGGCCTCAGACTCGCAAAGGAAGTGGGCAAGTAATAAAATTCTTATTCAGACTAACCACTGCAAAGAAAATAAGCAACTAAAGCAGTGATATACAATATAATTTGCAGCACTTATGCAGGATACCCTTTATAGTTTAACAATTGGCTTCTTGATATTAAATAAAAATATGGTAAATAACCATCAGCAGAACATCGATGGCTTGCAAATCATTACAACAAGCAAGAATTCCTTAAGCCATTAAAGACAGTACACTTCACTTTTCAGGATTATTAACAGAACAAACTGTATGTTCATAAACACAGTTAAAGAAACAATGTTTAAATAATGAACTGAAATATAAATGTTTACCAATTTCTAAGATTAAGTACATTATAATCTCCAAATACATGGTTCTTGCCAGCATGTTGACCACTCAGAAATGTAGATACAGATTAAAATGGAGCCATTTTAATCATAATGCTGTGATTGTCCTTCTGTCAGAGCAGATCTGCACACTTTTTCAGGCCACCCAACTCTGGTGTCACGTTATTCAGGGTGGCTTGGATATTGTGTTATCTGTATCTGGATTTCCATGGTCTGATTAAACTTGTCTAGGGCCAGCATCACATTTTTTAATGACTCCCTCACATTTTTTAAATGTATGACATTAAAACATGACATTAGCCATATAGGAGTCCAATATATACAATGTGTATGAGTACATGTGTGTGCATACCAAGCTTCAGTTTCAGTGGCTCTCCTGTTTCCTATGCCATCTTTCCCTAGCACAAACTCCCTTTTGCAAACTCCTTAAAATGCCCAAATGTCTCTTTAGCTACAAAGCAGCTAAGGAGTGCGGAAAGACAGCCTGTACTAGTTATCAGGTCTCCTCCTGTGGGTAAGTTCCACTAAACCAGATGTTGTGTGCTCATATGATGTGAGCTGTGAATGCCTCTTAAGGTTTTCACGACAATGAATCTCTAGTAGATCTCTAGTAGATTACATGGCATGGGCGAGTTCAGAGATGTTGAGTCAAAGTGCTCAAAGTTAAGATCACTCCATAAACTTGCATTTAAAAGTTGGGCGGCTACCCCTTAAAAGGAAAAGCAATGGGAAGTTTAAAAAGGCTCCCAAGAAGGTGGTGAAGGGAAGGGATGCAAGAACATGTACTCTGCTATGAACAAGTAACTGTGAATTGCTAGGCTGAGTCCCCCATCCTGTGGTGAGGAAGTCCAGGCCATTTGGTTGTGAACGATGTGTGGAGTGTAGCTTCTTTACATTTGCATAGTTCTGTTATGTTTTCACAATAAAACCCAATTGGAGAGGCTACAGAAGTGACTCAAGAGTGGCTATCACTCCTGTTCCTTGCTGGGGAAACTGAAGCTTGGATTTCAGTGTGTTAAGGCAGCATTAGGATTGCACTGCTAAGCACCTTAGAGTCTGAAAATGACCAAGATCAGATTGCCCACATAATCTTATTCTCCTCCTTTGAGGCTTTAAGATAGAGGCTATATGGCATTACAGATAAAACTGAAGAGCGTCATATAATGTTTCCCTACAGACTGAAGGGACTCAGCACCTTATATAATTTTTTATAAATTTTCTGTTCCATGTATATCAGACAGCATGTTAAGTAAGATTATGTGAAAAGTGCCTTCACACACATTGTTCCAGAAGAACTGTAATAATATGCAACGGTGTGGTTTGGTTTTCAAAAAATTGTGGTTGTATGAGTTTGGAATGTCTGTTTTATGCCATACTTGTGAGCTGAGCAGCAGTATATTCAGCATAGCTCACATATTTTACAGAAATAAAATATATTAAAATATTCTAGACAGTATTATTTATTGACACTGTTTCTTATTATTGTCTCTCTGTAAAGCCAGATATTCTCAGTGCCATAAGCACCACAGTATAATGACCAGTGGCAAAGGAAAATTATAACTAATGTAATTTTAGAAACTTCTTTAAAGCAGCCTAAAATATGTTTTCTGTGGCTCACAATGATAGGACTGTAAGAGTCAGTGTCTTGGGATCTCCCTGGGCTGGATGCAACAGTTTTCCCACTGGGTTTGGAATAGACTGCTGCCGGTGGTACTCTTAACGCCTTCAAGAGACATCTGGATGTTTATCTTGCTGGGATCCTATGATCCCTGCTGACTTCCTGCCCTTTGGGCAGGGGGCTGGACTTGATGATCTTCTGAGGTCCCTTCCAGCCCCAATGTCTATGAAATCTATGAAATCTAACTACTGATCCAGAATTTACTGATGCCTGTTCTACATCTCAGATAAATGTAATTTTTTGGGAAAGGAAGTACATATATTAGGAGGACATATTTCTTCTCTTTCAGATTGATTTTAAAACAAATGGCAGCTCTCTGAGGCTGCTAACAGTTTGTAGCCTTTAGGAGAAGTAGGCAGAATGTATTCAGGGCAAAAGTTGCATGCACAATGCAGTTAATCATAGAGGCTTATCCCCACGTTCAGAGGCATATATTTCCAGGGGCAGAGAAAGCAGTGGCACACATTTGTGCTGTTGCTTTGTGCCCCAGGGCACACCCCTGCATGTGCACTCTAGCACACCAAATTGACCCAGATAAGGCAGGGGAGGCTGGGGCCAGTACCTGTGCTGGCCCCAGCAAAATTACCTGTGGTGGTGGGGGGCTCCTGGGGTAGCAGCGATGCCGACCTGGCTGCATGGAGCCTGGCCAGCAGCCAGAGTGTAGCTCTGGACATACAGGCTCCATTTCTGATGGCACACGCTGCTGCTGCATATGTCACCCTGCTTTTTGTGGGGGGTTTTGGGGGTTTTTTTAATACCAAGACATCATGCTATCAAATTTTGGCACCATGCTGCAAATTGGTAGTGCAGCACACAGTTGCACAGTCACCACGTGCAGTTTGCAACACCCCAAACAGGTTTGAGCTGCCACAGACCACATGTGCGTGCTCATCTGGATGTGACCAGGGAGTTTATCTGCATAAAATTTGCATAAACATATATATGTTTATATACATAGACATGTTTATGTGTGTGCACAACAATAAACACAATACCTCAGGTACAATGTTTAATTCATAGGTTATTTTAATAGGATCCTTTATTGTTTAGTATATGGCATCTTTCCATTTAAAATAAATACGAGTATATTCTATATACTATAAACATACCTAATCCACATGTAATGTATATATTTTTCCCCAAAGGTTATATAATCATAGCACATTGTTAGTTCTATAGTACGCATGGATAATATCATCTAAGATTTAATCATGGGTACCTATGGGAATTATTTTATATTAAATATAAAAGTGGTTTGTGCATAGCAGTATAAATTACCATTCAATAAACAAGTGTGAGTTGCTCTCTTACAGCTTTATCTTGTTATCTCTCTTCTGTCTTTCACTCCCTTTGAATAGGCATAATTTGCTAGGTACACCACTTTTGTACTGTTGCTAACTTCTCCATATTTGGATTATACTCCCTTTGGGAAGCCCACACAGCCATCCCATGCATTTCAAAGTCAGTAGAGAGCCTGTGTGAATATTGCTGCTTTGGTGAATCGAAGCCCATAATATTGCTTGAAATGTGAAGCTAAAATCTGGATTATCCAAACCAGATAGTTGTCAAAATCCTAAGGACTGAAGCTTTTGAGGCAAGCTTTGAACTTTTTTTTCTTTAAGAGCATTATCATCTGTGTGCATAATACACGTTTCCTATTTAGAGAACAAAGGGGTGCATACTATCCTTCCATAGATAAACCCGTCAGAAGGTAAGCTGGGTCCCATTGTTTGAGTCTTTTCTTCATAAAGAGAGGACTTTGAGCCAGCCCAAGAGATGGGGCATGGATGGGTGTGGTGTGTAAAATAAGTAGATTTTAAAGGATTGTCTGGGAAATGTGAGCAGAAGTCACGTGTGCTTAGGAACAGTTATGTGCTTTGTAGCAGGCTCCAAGACCTCTTCCTGATATGTGACATGTGACCTCTTCCTGATATGTGTCTTTTATGAAGTCACAAAATCTGAACCTCATGTCTGGGCCCCAGATCCTTCCCTTCAAGAGGTATTACTGATGGTTTCCATTAGCAGTGAATGCAAAGTTTCTAGTTTGCAGGTGGAACTTTTGCCATTTATTGGTTCCCCTCTAACTCTTGGTCTGGAATGGCACCTCCAGATGACTAGAGCCTTAGTGCCAAAGGTCCCAGGGGAGGCTCCTCAGTTTTTCCCCAGGACAAATTAGAAGCATTTGCTGTGGAGGTATAGCTACTCCTTCCACAGGCCCAGAAAAGGAAGGTGTGCTATGTAATAGAGGAGAGCATATCCTCAAAGAGTTGGGGACCTGAAATTTCAAAAACATTCAGCTGCAGTAATGTTTCTCCCAGTGCTGCATGCTACAGGAGAATTTTATATCCTGCTTGATATGAAGACAGACAGCTATCTTTCTCTGCACATCCATTCCTTAATAGACTACACTGTTCAGTCAGAGACTTCTTTCCCTATCATCAGAGATCTATGCAGGGGGGATGCAGCAAAGACTAGGTGAGCTGGGAGGAAATGTGAGTAGGATAGGACATGAGTGGAAAAACCTGAGGCAAAGCCAGAGGAATTCACATTTTGCTGCAGACCCTCTCCAGCAAAGGTAATAGAGCTTCAGTCTGCATGGCCCTGCTGAGGGCTGTTGTGGTCAGGGAGCCAGGCCAAAAGCAATTTAAAATGAATGGAGTCTCCAGACACCGATTCCCTTGGCCTTCCACTAAGTCCCTAGAATTCATCAGGCTTAATATAATGAGGGGAATTTCCCCCCCTACTTTGAAGGAATGGTTTGGCAGAATCCTCAAGCAAAATTCTTGGGAAACTTTTCTTCCTTGGCTCTTTATAAGTTAGGAAAGAATTTGGCCTTGTAATTATATCTCATTTTCATATTAGCACTCCAAGGAAATGTTTCATATTGCATGTAGAACAGGGCTATCCAACTGGTGGCCCAAAGGCTGAATCCAGAAGAGTTACCATTTGGGAGGGGCTGGAGTGCCTGAGCTGCACACACAGGGAAGGCAAAGAAGGGAGCCAGGCTCCCTCCACTGCAGGTGGATGGTACATGCTCCCAGGAGAGGGAAGGGGTATTGTATCCACCACAGGGGGTAGGGTTAGATGGAGCCAAGCTGGTATCCTGCGGGGAGCGGAGGGAAGTGAACTGCTTAGTGCACATGGCTTGCAGGGGCAGAGCTGGGCTGCCCAGCTTCCCCCCTTTTCCCAGCTGTGGACATTGTGTGTGCAGCACCCTACCCTTGGCTACATGGGTTGTGTGGTGGGATCCAGGATCCGTCTGCCTATACTGTAGGGGTGCGGGTGGGCTGCCTGCATGGCATGCACAGCTGGGAGGGTGAGGATCCAAGATACCCACATTCTGGATGCAGTGTGCAATGGTTGGGTGCCTCATGTAGTACACATGCAGCCAGGAGAGGTGAAGATCGGGTTTGCCTGCATTATGCGAGCAGTAATGGAAGGGGTTGAACTGAGCAGCCCATGTGGTGGAGGAAGGGAACCAGAGGGGCACCTGCCAGCATGCCGTGCAGCCTCTGGGTCTATGGTCCATGTCGTGTGCAGCCCCTGGATGCCCAGAGGTTGGACAGCCCCGATGTAGGGAAGTAAACTTAAAAAACAATTTGCATAGGAAAATGCTGTTATAGTATGACTTGCTGATTTTTTTTTGACCCTCTTACTCTCAAGATGTCAGGCTGAAGAGGAGTGGAAATACTAATGCAAATTTGGAAAAGAATAATGAGTAAATTACATGCTCTTGGTGAAAATAAAGGCATATTGTTGCTTATGTTTTAAAAACTAACTGGGCTCAGGGACTCCTGCAGGCACATTAGAGCATCAAGGCTATTATTATCTGAATATTTTAAAGCATGTGAATATAGCATCTTGCCAGTCACTTCTTAGCTGCTTAGAAAATGTTTGCATCTAGTCCAAGTAGTCACTAAAACTTTTTATTATTTCCCAATTTGTAAAAAGTGTTGTGGATGTTCACAGCAGAATGTTTACATAGTATTCTTCAAAGTATTTCACCCATATCTACTGTATTGTTCTGAAATCCGTATCACAAAAAGTATTTAAACTGTGTCATTAAACTCTTCAGTCATCCTAATTAATGATATACGCGAGTCTCATTAAAATAAGCCTTTTATGCATGTTCTTTGCCTTGCAGATATCAGCCCACCAGCGCAAGGAGTGGATCATAGGCAGGTTCAGAAAGAGCTGGGAGATGTCATTGTCCGACTACATAATCCTGTTGTGCTGACACCCACTACAGTGCAAGTCACCTGGACAGTAAGGCTTTTATAATAACTTCCTTACTGACAGCTTTAATCTTGTTTACTTGTCCCTGTAATTCTTTTTCTCCCCTGAAAAACTCTAGTCCTGACCTTAGTCCATGTGGCCAGATAAGTTAACAGTGTGCAGACAATGAAAAATGTGCTAATGGTATGTACACTCTCTCTCTTTCTCTCTCTCTGTCTCTCTCAAACTCATTCAGGCTCAGAAGCTTCAGTGTGTAGCAGAAAGCAAGTTAACTGACTGATAAAGAAGATGCTTTAGCAGTATGTGTCCCATATAGTACAAAACAAGATCGATCCATACACTACTCTTAAGGAGTGAGCTCAATATAATAATCAAAGTTAAGATAAGAATTAAAGATAAGTGATGTGTTATTCATCACTCACCACTTCAGTCCATGGGGAGCTTCTACAATATCTCATTACCTGATGACCCTTACACAATCTTCCTAGAGGGTAGATGTGGGAAGGACAGGGGTTCATTTTGATGAAGCATGGTTAGTTATGTAGTGGTATTTGGTTTTATAGCATGAGCCTTGGCTTTGTTCAGTGGACATCCCTATATCAAACAAAACCCACATCTTTTTGGCATTGTCTGCAGCATTTTTATTTGAGCAGTCAAATTATTGGGCTTGTGCTCCTGAGAACTAAGTTTATAGTATGTGGCTTTCAAAATGCTACATACAGTATTTGTTTCCTGGAGCTTCAGTGAAAGGATTTGTAACCATAGAAGCAGAGAGTTCTTAGGGCACTACACACCACAAATGACTGCTTTATTCTTCAGGCGTTCCCTTCCCTGTGGAGGGACAAACCAGAGATGGAGATGGAACTAAGTAGCATAGTAGTGCACAGTATTTGAATTATCATTCTATATTGAATAAATTATGCTGTTGGGATATACACAGTACAGAGTAGAACATTTTTAATACACGTATTGTCATTAAAGCATGAGGAATATATATGTAGGGGACTGTAATACAGAAGAGGAAGTAAAAAAGTAAGGCTTCAGATTTTCCAGAAGCAGTACAAATGGCTCCTGTCACTTCCCTGTTAAGACAGATTACAGTATAGGCATGAGGGGGGTGAAGGGTAGGGACAGGCTTGGAATAAAATGGGAATCCAGTGCCCCTGGAAGATCTAATAAACTATTAATTCCTCTGTAACAAGCCCTGCTACTCTGGATTGGCATACGGGAATACATATAACTACACACAAAGCTCCTGATACTTATCTGCATGAGTTTCACAGAACCAGAAATTACAACCGGTATTATAACCAGAACTAGATAGCACACCTTCCATACTGTCACTAGCCTATTGCAAATAAGCTAGTGACAGTAGTCACTAGTTCTATGAGCTTTCAGTATGGGTGGAGTCTGGTCATGGTTTTCAGCTCTCTCTCTAAGGTATACTGCCAAATTCAGACTTCTTATAGCCCTTGTTTGATATTTAAGGCCATGTGTAGACAAAATGAGAGGCATGTGTGCACAACACTTTAAAGTGGGCTAAATGCTTTTGCACCACTTTAGTGTTGTTGGAGTTTGCACACGCTGGCGGCGTATTGCACATTAATTCCATCTGCTGTAGGAAATTCGGCGGTGTAATGCACCTAAAATTACTTGGGGTGTAGCAAACTAAAATTCCTTTGAAGAGTTTTAGTTTCCTGCCCCTACAGCCTCAGGGTGAAGCACCGGGCTCCATGAAGCTCCACGGCTCTGCAGGAAACCCTGCAGGCAGCCTGACAGCAGGCTGGGAAAGCAGCTGCACCCAAGAAAAGCGGCGAACCTAATCTTTGTTTTTGTCCCCCCTGGAGCCTGCCTGCCTGCCTGAACTGTGCAGGGGCCTGGTGCTTCCCTCTGTGGCTACGGTGCCCTCCCGGGACCATCCCAGCTGGGTACCTGTGGGCGGGTGCTGCATGGGGGGGGGCCACAGGTGCTGTGGAGGGAAGCACAAGCCTCCCCCAGCCCACCTGCAGCCCAGGGACCACTCTGCCCACTAGCAGCTTGGCCTCCCCTTCGCACTGGAGTGGCAGGTTAGTCAGTGGGGTGTGTGAATGACATGGGGGTTTAATCAGCCCTAAATTGAAACATTGTTTTTAAAAACGCATCGCTTCAATTTAGGCACCCTGTTTCATCTAAACACACCCTAAGACTCCATAAATCAGCCACCCCAGACTAGCAGTTAAGAACACTAGTGATCTTTCAGACCACTAGAGATCTTTTAAAAATTACAAATGAATCAAGACACATGCTTCTTTATTCCGATCTCAAGACCTTCAAGAGGGGAGGGCTTTCTCCTGCCTTCTTTCTCTCCAGCTGGTTTTCAATGTGGCAATAAGTCACCCAGTTTTAAACTCAGTCTCTAGCTTCTTATGTGGTTTCTAGCTGAAAAACTCCAGTCCTTTTCCCAGCCAATCTGTCCACCTTTCAATATGGCTGGGTTAAAAGTTCCGCTATTCAGTGACTGTATCTCTGCGAAGATCCTTCAAGGAGTAGACAAGTCCTTCTCCATGGCAGGGCAAGGTGGTTGTCTGGAATGCATTTCCAGAGGCATTCCCGAGCAGACTTAAAGATGTGTTCAGTACGTGTTCAAAATGGAGGTTCTAATACAAATGGGGTTCACAGCTGGATCCAGATATAACCCAGTGGGTGTGTCTACATGTGCATTAATGTACTTTAGTTAATGCACATTAAATCTAGTACCTCCACTGTGAGGCAGAAGGAAAATGTGCAGTAGCCTGTCTTAATGCTCCTTAACTAAAGAGCATGGGATGTCTACACTTGTGCTCCGGGGTGGAGGGTGGGTAAGGGGTTCTTTAATTAAAGCCTTCTAATTAAAGTGCCAGCAGCATCACATGTATTCAGTCAGCATCCTGTGCTTCAAAATGGTGGTGGGGGCACTGTAAATAAAACTCGTTTGACAAGTTACTTAATGCACATTAGCCTGCTTTAATGCACATTAACTAAATAGCATGTTTCTAGTGACACCTTAATGCACATTAAAATAGGCTAATGCACATTAAAGTGCATGTGCAGACATGCCCAGGATGTCCTGCAAGGGTGGAATAAAAATGATATGAATGACCACTCCTCTGAGTGGACTTATGAAGAACAGGACATTATATATTTTTGTAAGGAAAATATAAATTTGTATCATTGCTGATACCAACTGCAAGTTCCCTTGAGGTGAAAAGAAGTGACCTGACAAGCACACTGCAACCACTAGTACTATGCCAGCATTGCCTGAGGGAAGAGAGAAACCAAAACAAAAGGGAGCTGTTAATTAGAATGTTTCCAGCAACCAGGACAAATCCAATTAATTAACCCCAGTCTGCAGGATAGCAACCATGCTATCCAGAAAATAAAGCCAACATTATTAATATAACAAAAATAGCTCAGCTAGTATCCAAAAGAACAACATCCCAAAAGAGACTCTTCCTCTTTGCTTTTTGCTGTATGAAATGGCCTGCCACATAAGAAGCTCCCTATCTAGCATTCTGACTCCTGGCATACTGGCATTCATCATGGATGTTCTTTGCATTTTGTTGATTTATTTGAATTATTTTCACAATGTAGCCATTGTTCTAAATCAGAGCTCAAAATTCTAGAAACTGTTCCTCAGCGCTCAGCTCTACTTAGCATACTGCATGAACACATAGGCATGCTTTCCTTTTGTATCTCCATCCAAAAAAATATATTTTTAAAAGAAAGTTGAGCGTGCAAAAGCAAGTACGCAGAAAGGAAGAATGCCAGAAATAAGGTCTCCTGTATACTATTAGTTGGCTTCCCTTTGCGGCTATGCATTATATGACAAAGTCTGTAATTACCTGTTCACATATTTTTTTCCCCACAGAACTGCCTCATTGAGTGGGTATTTATTCATTTTTTTTCAGCATGTAGCCCCAGGTCTTACTTAACTGATATCACAGAAGACTGAATACAAGATTTTTGTCTTGTAGGTTTTTCTGTGGTGCTCTTACCATAATATTTGAGAAACACCTGGGTATCAATTAATATGTCTTCACAGCACCTCCATGATATTCGATGGTATTGCCAACCCCATTTTGCCCATAGAGACAGAAGCAGAGAAATAGGACTAAAAGCTTCAGTGCCCAGTGTGAAACACCTAGAACCCATTCCATTCTGCCGTCTAGAAAATTTGGCACTTTGCACTGAACATATTCAAAGCACACCTCTGGCTGACTTCAGCTGCAGTTCAGGAGTTTTAGTTCCACCTCTCTCTTATTGGGTGCATTATGAGGAACATGCAGTGAGTGGCCAACTGTGAAGTTAAGTTTAAGAGCCTTCCCAAGCAATCATAAAGGAACTCTGAGGTGGAGGCAGCGATAGGAGGATCCAGGGAAGCATTCAGTTGCCATAACCATGAGACTGTTCTTTATTCCTGCAACAATCTGTATATTTACTACACACTTCCATATTCAGCAGCAAATGGAGGGGGGAAAGGGTTGGGGGGCATGATCCAGATAACCAACTTTCTGACCTTTGTGTAAATTGCAGCACAGGTTGGTGAGAAGTTTCAGTTCTGTTGAAGGAGCATTTTGTGATAGAAAATGGTTAAAATGAAACTTTTCAACCATCTCTAATAGGGAGCCCTCCTGGTGTTCCATCACTTCAAGAATGCAGCCCGATTCCCCTGCTGTGCTCTTCCATTCTGCTTTCATTTCCTTTCCTTTTCTTCTCTCCTGCTCCCCAATATTGTTTTCCCTCTTGACCACAAGTCCCCAGAAGCCTTTGAATGATTTATCTTGTTTTTCTCTTGAGCCTTCCCATGAATGTAAGAAAGTTGGTTCCTGATAATGATATTAGACAAGTGAATGAGCTACCTGACTGTCTCCCGTCTTGCTATTTCTGACTGCTGTTGGCTATCCCACACTGATAGGGGTATATCTCAGTGTTGGATGTTGATTTTAAAAAGGACGACAGAAATAAGAAATAGTAGAACAGTCCCTTAAGCAGCTGTACTGTAGAGTATACAGCAGCTCTAGCTGTGTACTACAGAGTAGGCTTTGGAGTAGTTTCCACTGGGTGAGACCATGAACCTTTAGTAGCGTTCATGGATAAGCATTAAAGCTTCCAAAAGTTGTGGAAGTCAGTTCTTCCAGGGCACAAACTAAGCTAGTACAGTAGCTTGAAAAATCTTGTATATTATTCTGTACAGATGGAGAGTTGCTGTGGATATTTTTGCAGGTAGAATTTTATTCTGGGTATTCTAGGAGGGTAATTTACATACAAAAGAGTTATTCTGCAAAATTTCTTTAGACTGCAACTTAGTGGTCTCATCATCAGACAGCCACAGTGGCAATGTATTCTATGTTAAAAAATGTCTGTACCATGATTCTGATAATTGTATTGTTACAAAAGCAGTCAAATGAGCGCTCCTACCAGTCTACTTATGATACCTCTCAGAATGTTAATCTTTTATTCACCCATGTTAAATTATTTCAGGTGTAGAGAGAGTAGAAAGTGGAAATATATGATTACCCCAAGTAACAGATAATCATATACATTTCATATATGAGAGAGAGAAATAAGTAAATTTTAGGTGTGTATTGGCCACAAAATTTTTGTCACGCATCAGAAATGGAGTTTTTAATGGCCAAAGTCTGTTGGTCTGAACCATATTTCTGGCTTCATTCTACACAGCTATTATAAAACTTTAGTCTGTTACTGGATGTCCACTACTGAATGAATAGGTGTGGCTAAAAGTGCACATATGCAAATATCTGTATAGTTCTGAATGCAGGTATTGATAATTATCATGATATTTTGTGAATTTTCAACCATTCCCCTTGTGACAGCACTTTTCACCCATCAGTTCTTAAGGTTATCACAAAAGCACAAGCAACAATCTGAAAAAAAAATTATGTAATGTTTTTAAGAAGTAGATAGAAAAATTAAATGATATTTGATTATTAAATGTCATTGCCATATACCACAATATAGGTTAAGATTTAAGTATTACAAAGTATGCAAAGGAGTTAACACTATGTTTTGTAGTAAACATGAGGTTCATAAAGTCTTTATGTCCGTAAAACATTTAATTAATGAAAGTCAAACATGGATAAAAACAATTTACCCTGATTTACAGACTCCCTTCATCTGGAAACAGCTGCTTAATGTTCTTCTTAAAAACACAGCTTGATTCTTTCAGTATTAACAAGCTATTATTGTGAGTTATGTCCTTCTTTCAGTGCATAAATTCACTTAAAGTGAATGTAGAGAAGTTTATAAAATGCAGGCTTAATGTTGTTGTAACATATGTTGCAAGGTTTTTAACAGTGACAGTTTTGATGAAAGATATTTTTGCTTTGCTCTCATAAATTAAGCTTGCTTCTTCTTGTTTGCCGTGGCTTTTTTTAATGTCATAAGAAGTTGGTCCCTGAAGAACATAATGAACAGTGTAGTGGGGATACAGTAAAAGTGATGGAAAGAACAAGATTTTGGTTTGTCTTCAGTCTTGGGCTCACTTTTTCATAGCCTAGCCCAAGTGATCATATCCCTAATTCTGGATATTCTTTGGGTTAGTTAGCACAGTAGATACAGAAAATCCCACTTGTTGAACCTCAGGTATAAAACTGAATTAAGCAACCAGCCAGTTATATGTCTAGACAGACACACTATGTGTTGATTGTTTCATTTTCTTTGGCACTTTGCTTGACAACTGTAGAAGTCAAGATCTTTTACCAGAAAAGATTTTTTTTTTTTTTTTTTACTGTTTTTAGAGATTAAGCTACAAATTCATGCCAACATTACAGTAGTTTGGAGTAATTCAATTTGATACTTTTCTTACAGAGAAAAAAATAGTAATAACCTCTTCAAGATAATACATTTTGAAGTGTTTTCTTTTCAATTGTGGTAACATTTATTGTTATGAAAGACAGGGTAGAATTGTTATATTACTGGATGCAATCCCAGTCTTGAATTCTGTTTGCCCAGCAACAAATAAAATACAAATATAAACAACATTACATCCCATCTGATGGTGTAAGTGTTTCATAATACCAGAATACAAATAGACTCCTTAGAACAGTGGAAGCAACAAATTTTCTTGGTCAGTGGTTTTTCTGCATCTGTCTATGTCTGTTTTACTTTTTGGAGTATCTCATGAAAGGTTGAGGGATAAGAAAAGTAGTGGACTAATTGAAAATGTACAATACATCTTCAGAGATTTAGCATTTTCTGAAAATAATTTGTTTTTCCTTTCCTTCTCAGATTTCAGAACATTAGCATCCAAGTGACTTTAATAGCTTTACATGCAGTACTCATTATGCCAAATTGAATGAAAATTATCTGTTTATCATAGTTTTTGGTTTTATGCTTTGAGATTAGACTGGTATATCGTTAGACCTAATTAGAAAGAGTAAAATAAGGACATACTGAGAGAGGTGTATACATCTCCTTAAAAAAAAATTAGTGAAATTGGAGTAATCCACAAGATGTTTTGATTTTACATTTGGAGGAAATTAGCAGCACAAGTAACTAAATCATTTTCTCTTTCTCCTAAATGCAGTAGGTTGCATTTTTGTTTACATTTTAATATGGATTAAGTACTTTAAATATGTATAGTAATACACCATTCACTACCATTTTTAGGTTGACCGCCAGTCCCAGTTTATTCAGGGCTATCGAGTCATGTATCGTCAAACGTCAGGAGTGCCTTCTCCAACCATGTGGCAGAATTTAGAGGTCAAAGTTCCCACCGAGCGCAGCGCTGTCCTAATCAACTTGAAAAAAGGTGTAACTTATGAAATTAAAGTTCGACCATATTTCAATGAGTTCCAAGGAATGGATAGTGAATCCAAGTCTGCCCGTACCACTGAAGAAGGTTAGTAAAATTGTGAAATGAAGTGACAGGTTCTCCCACCTTGGGCTGGAGAATTATGTTCACTGTGATAATTGCACTAATAATTATGCTCCATTTAATTTCTTTTGGTTCCAGTGCCTTTTGTTTGTTAAATGGCTTTTGAATTTATCCTTACACATTCCTCTGAGTGTTATAATATTACCAGATCTTTATTGATGAGTGTGGCAGGGCACTGTTGGTGCCTGCCACTTTAAGGGCCAGAAGGCAGCACCCGGCAGGCGACTGATGAGGGCAGCCATTTTGGATCTGGGGCTGCCCATATAAACACGGCAGTTCTGTGCTGGGGGCCAGGCAACAACATTGCCTGGCTGGAGGGCTGCTGATATCATCTGGAGGAAAGGGAGGAGGTGTAGGGGATGGTAAGGAGGCTCCTGGTCCTGGGCATGACCTAAAACAGCACCCTGCTGGGAGTGGGTGGCCTGGTGAGGCTCCCAGTGGTGCGGGAGCCCCCAGGAAATACCAGGCCAGTTGCTACCCTGGTGAAAGGGGGGCCGGGGCGCCTTAACCCCTAGCCCCCACAACCAGATGGGTAACCCCTTGTTGGAGGGCCTGGAGGGTGGACCCCCAGAGAGAGAAAAAAGGCCATAGACTCAGGCCTGTCTAGACTTCTCCTAACTGGTCAATTCTGGGGCCAGGACTGGAAGGGTCAAAGGGCCAGGGGCCCACCACGAGGGATGCCCAAGAGCTGTGCATCTGGGGTCCCGACTGGTCTGGAGGTGGGCCAGGGCTAGTGAGCCAAAGGTCCCAGGTGGACCACACCTAAAGGGGAAGCAGTTCAGGGAGCTATGCTTCCTAATATGAAGGCGGATAAGACTGCTTGAGGATAGGAATCCAGGTGGGGTTCAATGAGGACAATTCTGGGGCCCAGTGTCGGGGCTGGTAATAATGAGAACACTGAGATGCCATCTGTGAGAATTGGGCTGCGGTGTAGGGGAGGAAAGTTGCTGCAGATAGCGCCCCTTGGCATCGGGACAGGTAATGGGCAGCCTCCCACTTAATTAACATCTATTAATTAATTATACCAGCAAGGCGTGGTGAGTGAGAAAGTGGGTAGTTAGCCTAGGAGCAGGTGGGTGGGCCACACTGAGATTGGCCCCGAGCAGACCCCCGTTACAATGTGTCTAAAAGCTACAATGTGTCTAAAAGCTCTCTCCAAAAGAAGAAGAAATGGAAAATAGTCTTGTGGCCAAAGATGGAAGGATGGTTTTGATGCCAGGATACAAGCATAGAGTCATGAGATCTGTGTTCTTTTCTCAGCTCTTCCATTTGAGACCCAGATATGTAATGTTAAACGAGATTCACCATTCATACTTGCTTTTGGTGTTTTGGCCATAATCTGTCTTCGCAAGATCCATTAAAACGTAGATCTAGACTATCTACATCACGCCGTTAGTGGTAATAGTCTACATAATTCCACAATGACTGTAAAGTGCTTTATAATCCTAAAATGGTATGTGCCACCATCACCATTATTATTATTCTTTTACCTTTTAGACATTTTATAGCTATCATACAAGTAAGCAAGCCTTGCAGAAACTGTCCTACCTTACAGATAGGCAAATGGGGTGTTCTGTGAGTCACCAAAGAGCACAAAACATGTCACTGTCCAAAGCAGGATTAGAATTGGAAAGTTTCTGGTCCCATTGCTCAGACCATAAAGCCTTGCTCAGACTATAAATCCTAAATTGTTCAGGAAAGGTTAGCGTCACTGCTATATGAATAAAGCTCTTTTTAAAAGATTGAAAAAGAAAATTGAAGAAAAGCTTCATAGGTTGAAATTGTTTTGCTAAAATTAATGGTAGGATGTTTCCCTTCCTAGAGAACATTCTCCTTGTCCCTTCTCAATTGATTTTTGCTGTTTATTTAGTTCATCTAACTGTCTCCTGCTAAAGTTAAATTAAGAACCACTGAAAAAGAGAGAAGATTTGGTATCTCTACTCTATTTCTGTGAAGTACTTGAGGAGTGACATTTTCATTTATAACCCTCATTTCCCAGAAGGGCCTGTCAGGTAATTTCCTACTTTAAAGGCCACTTTCTTCTTGTGGAATAATTTCCACACATTGGCAGACAAGGTTCTTTGGGTAAACCTGAAAGGTTGCAAAGAACAATTTTTCCAACTATTTAGTTGGTCTAATAAAAGATATCACATTTACCCCCCAAAAAATGTGTATGCCTATGTCCTTAGACCAACACAGCTACAACCAACACCCACTTTTCACACAGTGGAGATTTTTAGACCCTTCTTTGCCTACAGATATGTTAAAGCCGTAGTCCATGTTTTGCTGCGCAGATTAATGTAACCTTCAGCCATCCTTTTTTACTGGTATCTCCTTCAGTAATGCAAGATCTATAATAAATAGTAGTATCACCAGTCAAATGTCAGCCACTGTAAATGATGTTTTCTTTCCCATATTAAATTGTTTAGCTGATAAGGTTCTTTTTTTCCCCTTTCCCAAAAAAAAGATAAATAAAAGCCCAATAGGCAACACAAACTTCCGTATACAAATCAGTAAGTTCATTAAGTCCCATGGACATTTCCTTTGGACTTTATAACTGTCTTGGTGTTCATACTTTCTCAAAACTTTTATTTTTTTACAGTTATCATACTTTGTGCATTGTCAGATGACTGGTTTGAAAATCAAACTATTAAGTGATGACTTTTTTAAAAGCCAGGTCACAATATATTTAGGAAAATAATTTGGAAGAATGATGTGAGAACTGTACATTTTTTGCAACATCAAAATGTGGAGCTCTAGGGAAGGCAAAGCATGACTCAAAAGGTTTTTACTGTATTGAATTTTACATGGAATGTTACTTCTGAAGCCTGGCTCCAAAAATCAATTTCACTGCAGTTAGACTTTTCCTCTAGATCAGACATTTGTCACAATTCAGTATCCATTCATCTCCTACCTCTTTGGCCTTGTGAAAGTAACAAATGGAATTCTGTTTGGTTATGTCTGGAAAGATGAGCAGCGATTTGGGTTCTTTCATATCTGTAGGAAGAAGCTGAGCACTGAAATAATTGACCTGTCAAGAATCAGGCAAGGTGTTCTCCACAAGCCAGCAGCAAGGGAAATGAAAAACCAGTTTTAAAAATGTTATTTTTCAATGCGGTCTATTTAATAACTTCAGCAGTGTCAGACAAGCTGTTTAATTTATATCATGGTGCCAGTTTACAGAGTGATTTTATCATAGAGAGAGAATGTAGAGCAGTAATATATAAAATATACATCTATATTTGTGTGTGATGGGGGTGCTCACATTAAAAGAGAGCCGGCCAAATAATTATCTTAATGCTAATTTATTTAGCATTTTCATTTCTCCTTTGTATTCATAAATTATCCCAAAGCAGATCACAGTTTGCCCTAGCATAGTCACTATTTCATGGAATAACATTGGGACTAGAGTTTGGTCCATATGATGTTTGTGTCCAGTTCATTGCAAATATATGGACTGGTCATAAACCAGATTCACCAGATACTGTGTTCACTTGCAGTCCAGTCCCTGCTTGCATTAGCCAGGTGCTGAGATATAGGCTTCAGATTGCAGCTATGAATTTCACTTTCTTAAACAACTATCCTATATTTAATAATATAGACTAGTGTATAATATATTACCTCTTCAAACTGGCTATTATGATGAAGAGTCAGGGAAGTAAATTCATTCACTAGAATAGATATAGAGCACAAATGCAAGGACATATCAATTTAGCTGAAATGATTTTTTAATACAATATTGGAATGAATATTTTTTTAAATATATCTTTCAATGCATGTGTTGCTCTATGTCTTTGCGTATAGGAAATGTATCTTTCCATACACCTGGCACAATGAATAGTATACATTTTAAGAAAAAATGTGAATACATTTCAGCTTTGTCCATTATGTTTCAAAACAACAGCTTAATATTATTCTCTGCCATTATTATCACTATTATTGTTTTCTTTTAAAATCAGGTACTAACAGCAAAAATATATAAGCTTTATTCACATTTCTATGTTAAAGAACTGATAGGATTTATATAAATGCTCATTTTAACACGTGATTTCATTCTCTTTCACTTTCTGTAAAAATAAGGGTGTTATTACACATTACAGTTCACATGTGCTACCTCTAAGGAATGTTAGACAGTATTAAAATTGGCACATGCTGTGAGCAGTTGCACATTAAGGGTTAATACCCTCACTAATGTGCACAACTCTGACTTGCTGCTAGATGGCTGCAAGCAGGGGCATGGCTAGGAGCTGCCAAGTCTCTCCCTTGGCTGCCCAGCTCAGTGGCTGTCCAGCAGTTCCCCATTCATCTGCCCCACCTCCTGGGGCTCTGTGGAAGCTCCCCACTCCAGAAAACCCAATAAGGAAAAAAAATTCTTGAAGTTCTTGATCCCTTCAGGATTTGAGTAAGATAATGAGAAAATGAATGGAGCTCTCCTTGGACAGGAATATCCTGGACTGAGAAGTTTCTGGGTCTTTCAGAACTTAGCAAAACTGATCCACAAAAGTGAGTGAGAGATAACTTTGGTGTTCTGGATGAAAGATTGTCCGTGGAGGGGAAGAGATAGAGGATGGCTAGGGATGGTGCATTCTGGGATATTGGAGGTCTGTGAATTGCTGGTATTGGCCTGGTAGTGGAGCAGATTGCAACCCGAGCTGCCTAATGCCAGCTAGGGATAATCATTGCCTGAAAAGGTGCAACTTCGATACACTCAGAGGTCACTTAGCTCATCTTTTCCTGCTTTCATGCACAGGCACTCCCATCTTAACACATGGGGCAAATAACAATACCTTTACAGTTCAGTTGTTGAGTACACCAGTTTTATGCTCAATCTGACTAAGAAAGGTGTCTCTAGATCTTATAGTTTCATAGTTGGTAGGGTCAGAAGGGACCTGAGCAGATCATCAAGTCTGACCGTCTGCCATGGGCAGGAAAGGATGATGGGGTCAAACAACCCCAGCTAGGTGATTATTTAGCCTCCTTTTGAAGACCCCCAGGGTAGGAGTGAGCACCACTTCCCTTGGAACTTGGTTCCAGATCCCAGCTGCCCTGACTGTGAAGTAGTGCCGCCTAAATCTACTCTCAGTCAACTTATGGCCGCTATTCCTTGTTACTCCCTGTAGTGCTGGGGGGAACAGAGATTCTCCCATTGCCTGCTGGTCCCCCTTGGCCAGTTTATAGAAAGCCACCAGATCCCCTCTCAACCTTCTCTTGTGGAGGCTGAACAGGTTCAGGTCCCATAGCCTCTCCTCATAGGGCCTGCCCTGCTGCCCCCTGATCATGCGAGTGGCCCTCCTCTGGATCGTCTCGATGCTGGCCACATCCCTCTTGAAGTGCAGCACCCAGAACTGGATGCAGTACTCCAACTACGGCCTGACCAGTGTCGCATAGAGGGGGAGTATCACCTCCCTGGACCTGCTCATGATACATCTGTGGATGCATGACAAGGTATGGTTGGCCTTCCTGACTGAGTCCTCACATTGGCAGCCCATGTTCATCTTGGAATCAATAATGACTCCAAGATCCTTTTCTGCCTCTGTGCTGTCAAGAAGGGAGTTCCCCAGCCTGTAGGTCTGCTGCTGGTTCTTCCTCCCCAGGTGCAGTACCTTGCACTTGTCCATATTGAAACCCATCCTATTCTCATCTGCCCAGTAACCTGTCAAGATCTAGTTGTAGCCTGTCCCTCTCCTCTAGTGTGCCCACTTCTTCTTTTTGTTCTGCTGATTTTGGGCAGTCAGAGGCCAAAACTTGGCCCATATGTGACTTACTGCAACCTAGGAATAGTTCACATTGTATCAGCAACTGCTTAGGGTGCCTGTAGATTCATGGGGAGGCTGCTCCGATGTGCTGTAATTATAGCATGTTGAAACAGACTTGGTTAATAGAGTCTGCTGGAGCATGCTGATTAGTGTGCTCCAGCAGCATCTGCGTCTTGTGTATCAGCATCACTGCACTTCAAAATGGTGGTGGGGTGCTTTAAATTGCCCCCTCTCCTGCCATTTTGTAGTGTAGGAACACTGATACATGCTTTGATTAGAGCAGCTCTCAGAGCCACCCTAATTAAAGCATCTCCCTGCCCATCCACAGAAAATGTGTAAAAATGCTCTTAAAAACCAATGTACAAGCCAATATTCCTTTTCTACCCAAGCTGTCAAGACAAACTTCAACTGATTTTTAGCTGCTTTGCAGCTAAACCATAAAATGTGGCCCTCAAACATTCATCCTTACAATGTAACCTTAGTAGTGATAGTCATGCATCTGTCATGTTTCTCTAAAAGATTCTTTTTCATGTGTATGCTGTTTGGCCTTATTTTCAGATACCCTAAGTATTATTCTAAATGAGTTAAATATTGCATGGATTATTATTCATTTATCATTCATTCTCCTCGTCTGCAATATGAATAGTCTATATTTCATTAGTAAAGGAGTTGAGTTCAAGTCCTCCAATTCATCTGGGTAGGCCAGATGCTGCCAAACATCCAAAGGAAAAAACAGAACCAGTCTTCGCGAAGTCTTAGGAAAGATTAAGAAATCCTAGTCTCACTCCAGAAATCTAAGTTTTTCTAACATTTAGAGTATTCTGGAGCTACTGACACTGGCACCAAAGCTCAGGGAGGGTCAAAAGATAAATGGATGTTGATGCCTTTTAATTGTCTCCAAAGGGAGCCATGGTCCAGCTAGGTTCAGTCAGTCAATCCTAAAAACCCAATAAGGAAACATTCTTGGAGTTCTTGATCCCTTCAGGATCTGAGTAAGAAAATGAACTAGGCTGTCCATGGACAGGAATATCATGGATTGAGAAGTTTCCGGCTCTTTCAGAACTTAGCAAAACTGATCCACAAGAAACAGTGAAAGGTTTTTGGAGTGCCTAGGACCAGGATTGACCAATCTGCTAAGGGGAGGTGCTAGGGAGGTATAACCATTTTGGCTGTTTGGCACTTTATCTTTAAAATTAGTTCCTGGAGCTCTTTATTTAAAAAAAAGGCAAAAAAGAGAAAAAAAAAAAGGAGGAAAAGAAAAAGAGAGCAGATGGGGAGAGCCGGGGAAAACAAAAGGAAAGAAAAATATTGAAGGCCCCCCCCAAAAAACTTTAAAACAGGATTGTCACACTCACCCTTATGTAGTGAACAGCAGAACAACAGTGAGTGGTTAGGCAGAGTGGGACTTCAACAATAGGCAAAACTCATCTCACTGAAAAGAAGAAGTGTAAATATTTGACCTTGCTTGAATCTCTCCATCTTTTACTGCAATACCAAATGAAATCCCATATACTTTTACTCTTTGGCTGCACAAAAGTTGTAAAGTCTTATATTTAAATTGATATGACCCCCTTAATAAAGGCATTATTTTTCAAAGTTGTGAGTGACTGACAACATGTGTGCATCTAAGCCTGACATATGCAGACCTTGTGTACCCTCTCTATACTTTTACAGTATTTAAGCAAAATGTGAGCTATAGCACCAAATTAAAGTCTGTCTTCTATTTTTTGCTGCTGTCTGGTATAGCTCCAAGTGCACCTCCTCAGTCCGTGACTGTTCTGACCGTTGGAAATCACAACAGCACAAGCATCAGCATCTCCTGGGACCCTCCACCTCCAGATCATCAAAATGGAATCATCCAGGAGTATAAGGTAGAACTGATGACTGGCGGGAGGGATGTGAACTAAGGCAAATGGGTGGCTGAACAATACCTCTCAGGTTACCCTTTCCTGAGTGGAGGAGGGAAGCCATATATAGCTGAGCGTTCCTCTCAGACAGATTCAGTTAGGATCCCTCAATCTGTTTGGAAAACTAGCGGTGGGGTGGGAAGTGTTGCTTTTACTTTTCTTCCCTGCATCAGAACAGATTCAAATACAGACAATCCTTGGATTTACACCGCAACTGGTTCCTGAAAACTGTGTCTTAAGGTGAAACACTGTAACTCAGAACCAATTTTCTCATAAGAAACAAAGTTATAAATGGGGGACTCGTTCCTGAACCAAGGCCCGATACCCTGTTTTCACCAAAAATAACCCAGAATGTTGTATTTGATCAATTATAGATGAGGAATATAGCTACATTAATGTATTTATATTGTAAATAGCAATCATGTTGATTTGGAAGGACTTCTTTGAGGTGACTTTGCTGGACTTTTTGACGGACTCTTGATTGGAGTTTTTTAAGGGTTCTTGGCTGGAGTCTTCTCAAGAGTCTTGGAGGCAGGTTTTTCTGGAGTCCTGTCTGCTTTCTTAAAGAAAGTGTCCAAGGAAATGGGCAGCGAACTTGTTTGGTGGCATGGCATCGTGTCAGATCAAGCGTTGTAAAGTCAAAGCTGATGTCAGAAAGTTGAAACGGTGTCAATTTATAAATGTTGTAAGTGCAAAATGTTGTAACTCAAAACGTTGTAAGTTGAGGACTGCCTGTATCTCAAGTCAGAGGGTGTGGCTCTGGGAATTTCACATCTTATTCCTACTGAAAGCAATCCCTTAGCAAGTGTTTGAAAACTACTATGAAAACCAGTGCCTCTTGGACCATTGGCTTTTGGGTTTCCCTTTTTTTTCTATCTTTGTTGTCTGTTCTTAACTTTCACTGATGTGGTGCATGTAAAATGTCCTCTCCTGCTCATCATCACTTTCTTCTTTGATCTATAGTCAGTTCTATATTCTGATCACTTCTAGATAATCTTTCACAACACAGAAACATCACAAATCCCTTGTAAAGAAAGCATAACTGTAATAAACCCCTTAAGTCTTGGCTCTGTTACCTATCCACACTAGCATAACAAGAGGGTGACCAGGGCAGCAGCCCCAGATGCTGCCATTGTGGAGGCAGTAGAGAAACATTTTCTGCGGTGACAGCTAACCATGCTGCCTCCCTCAGTACCACAGCAGCCGGCGCTGCTCCACGTGTTGCAGCTGCCCCAGGAATAGAGCTGCCGTACTGTGCTTCTGCCTATGCAGATATGAAAGGAAAAGCATTTGGGGTAGACATCTAAGAATGAACTGGAGAAGTCATGTTATTTTGGGTCAGATTAGTTTCTGTTGTTGAACATTGGTGAGCTCCCTCAGGAATAAACCTCTAGGGGTGGAAATCTTTGAGGCCTGAGGCTGTAGCAGGTGAAAAAAGCCATGTAAACCTTTCCTAAAGAAAGAAATGCTATGGGGCACAGCATTGTCAGTGTTACCACTGGTTCTGGTTAGGGAGTGCACAGTTCAGTTACCAATGCATCTCATATGGAACCTCTGGTTGAAGTAGAAGCTGTCCTGCCCTGGCAGAAATCTCCAAAAGAAACAAAGTAATGGCATTACAACTCTTGGATTCAGTTGTATCCTCTTTCTTGGGACCATTTATACACTCTGGTGCAACTTTTTTTTTGGTTCTGAGGTGGGAGGAGCAGTCATGTACTTTCAAAAAATCTTGTTGTATAGTCTCTTATGGTCTTTTCATTGTCTTTATTGCTAAATCATAAAGGCATAATAAACACACACACAATATTTATATATAGCATATTAGTATTTCTCTTTTATTTCTGCTCAATATCAAGATTTATTAATCCCAACATGATGTTGACTTCATTTTCACATCAATTAATAGTTACCACTTCAGTTCATCTCTGTACCAGTCCCAGTGTAAGTCAATATTTTCTTGAATTGAACATAAATTCTATTAAAAACGTATAAGAACAAAATATTATGACTTTATGGCTAAAGACTCAGAAGCCAGGCAACTGCACATATTAATGGTGATCTTTCTTCATATATACTGGGATATAGGCCAAGGTTTGGAAAATGGTTCCTAAAATCTAGATTTAAACACTTAGATGACCTTATTTTTTAAAGTTATGAACACCCCTAGCTACCGTTATTCTCAGTGGCAAGGATTACATGTTCAACACGTTTGAAAATTAAGCAGCTTCACTTTGTTTCTGTTTTTGCAAACTCAGCCAGTCTTTAATTATTTAGCACATAATATTCCTCTAATTGAATATTACAATGTGAGACTATTTTCCTCACAAAGATACACGCATTTGAAAATGTATTTCCCTTTATATATTCCTGCTTTGGTTTTATTTTCAAAATAACATGACACTCCTATATTAAGTGAGGTACAGATCCATAAACAGACTTAGGCACCTACAGTGGGACTCTCATGGAATTCAGGGGTGTTTATACATGTGCTCTGGGAATGGGGGCAGGAGACAACTTAATTAGAGCAGCTCCAAGAGCCACTGTAATTAAAGCACCTGGAGTGTCTCATGTATCAGCGTTCCCCACATTTAAAAATGGTGGTAGGAACATTTTATCATTTGTCAAATGAACTTTAGATAATGCGGCCCTGCCACCATTTTTAAGCACTGGGATGCTGATACATGAGATGCTGGAGGCTGCTGGAGTGTGGTAATTACCACACTCCAGAAGACTCGATTCATTTAGTCTGCTGCAATGCACTGTAATAACAGTGCACTGGTGTAGCCTTGATGCTCATGTATAGGTGCCCAAAATGTGTAAAAGTGTGACCTTCCAGAGCCCCTGCCCAACCCCACAGGTACCTAAAGTTTTGCCAATAAAGTTTCCCAGTTTTGATCTCCAGTTTTGCTTATGCATAGCTATCTTGTCAGGGAAGAGCAATAGGGGTGTGCAAAATGGGCCTTATTCAATTCGGATTCAGATTTAGCCTGAATCAGGAACAGTGATTCAATTTGTTGATTCGATGTGGCTGAATCTGAAGATTTAATCCAGATTCAGAGAATCAGTGATTCGGCCATAGACGCAGCCTTACATGTTTTTTCTACTAAGAAAGTCCACACAGCAGTCCAGGATCGGGGGGTACAATGGTGGCTTAAAACGGTGGGTTAAAAGCTTCTGCTCCTCCTAGGCAAATTCTATACTATATTTCCTAGAGGCCCACTCACCCACTAACTACATTGTGCCCGTGTACCATTCACTATAGTGATATGCTCATGATCAAATGTTTCTTAAACACTTCACAGTCATGTGTCATTTTGATGTTTTCCTACTAAATAGAAAATACCTCAAGGTACCAGACACAGCTCATGAACACTGTGGTGCTGGGCCAGATGGAGCATCCCAAAGGACCATGCGGGAGGTGGCCTGTGTGCTAAATGGCGAATCCGGAAGTGGACCAGAACTACTTCCAGTCTGCTTCTGGGTCCACCAGGGAGCACGCGGGGGGCCCCCCTGCACTTCTCCAGCTTGGCGATTGGCCGTGGGGTGAATCTGGGTGCCTCCCCCAGACCCAGAAGGCACCAGTTGCTGAGCTGGGAGGGTGTGGGCGGGCAGGCCCTGCGCACTCCCTGGTGGACCCAGAAATGCTTCTGGTCCTCTTCCAGGTCTGCTGCCAAGCACACGGGGGAGCCCCCCGCACCCCTGTGGGATGCTCCATCTGCCCCAGCATCACAGCATTCATGAGCTGCCTGCTACCTTGAGGTATGTAGTGAAAACATTTAAATCTGTGTCTATGTCCAAATCTCTGAATCTTTCCAAATATCTCTGAATTGATTTAGAGGGTTCAGATTCAATCTGGAGAGATTAAAGAGTCTCCTGATTCAATTTGGATCCAGGGATTCGGCCACTGAATTGGGCCGATCTTCCACCAAATCAAATCAGCGACCGAAGCTTTGCACAGCCCTAATCCTCAAGCATTTGTTCCTCCACCCAAGTTCCCTGAAAAGTTCAGTGCCGTAGATGGGTGAAGCAGAAACTTAAAACATTTCTACAGGATTGATCTTGCACAAAACCTAGTGCCCATGTCCACAGACAGTTCCACTCAAAAATAAAGATGGGAGTTGGGGGATTAAGGAGAGTGGAATTTAAATAGTGATTGCATAAAAAGTATAAACAGCCTTCAGAGCAGGGATCAGAACCAAGGTGTCCTCTTTCCTAAGTGAGTGCCCTGAACTCTAGGCCAGAAAGTTATGCTCCTTTTGCTCCCTCTCCCTGGCCTAATAAATTATTACTTTTTTTTTGCAAAGTGTTACAGCTTCACTTGGAAAGGTAGAGAACATCGCCCACCACAGAAAATCCAAGAGCCTGAACTGCTGTCTTGGGAGCAGGGAAATGTGATTTTGAACACACCACAGCCTGAGAAGGACAGTGACCAAGGCACTACCAACTCCTGTACAAGTGCTATAATCACTAAACTACTATATAAAATAGGCTATCGTTTAAAATAAAGGAGGGGCCTCCATCTCTGAGAAGAACAAGTTAGCCACCTTTCTTTACCACAGGACAGTATTCACAGCAATGAATTTCAATCTGACATTGGTGACTCCCACGTAAGCCCCATTGTAGGGAAAGGATGAAGACCAACCCCTACATTTAGCTTTTCCTATTGAACATTTCCGGTTCACCATGTTAGTTATTGTAAATCACACTGCAAGGCACCTACCTAACTGATCCCTTTGCACTGAATAGAAAGCATAGGTTGGAAAGCCAGGTAGTCCCTTTGGTAGATATAGCCAGAAGTATTGGTTTGAAACCTTACAACGTGATATACCGGCAAATTAGGGGCAGCATGTAACCTCACTGGCCAAGGCCCAGAACAGAAAATAAATCGAATGCCCTCCCCCCTCCCCCCACCCCGCTCAATCACTGAA